GTATTCCGTCAACTGATGGCCGTATATCAGAGGTCGCCCGGTGTCCTCACTCCACCAGCTCCCCCAGTCGTCTGAGAAGAGCCGCCCGATGCAGGTCACGTACTCGGGGCCTTCTCGGAGCTCACGGTCCAGCCAATCCCAAACGCACGGAGACTGGGGCCACTCGTCGTCTATCGAGCGGATCAGCTCTATAAGCTGAACCCTCTCGTCTCCCCAACGAGGCCCACCAGTCGCGAGCGAATAATGGATATAGTCCAGGTCGGCAGGTCTTCTCGCCAGGATCTTGAGATCCTGTTAAACCAGGTATGTCTCGACCACTCCACCAATACCTCCAAAGACACTCTCTACTACGAACGTCGGAACTATCGCCTGCAGGCTCCTAACGCTGTACGGGAAAAAGTCGTCCCGTGCTACCACCAGCTCGCCCGTGATATCAAGAGGAGGTCGTCCGTGAAATAGCGTCAACGGGTCACTCGAGTTCTCCGCTCGGAAGGCAGCTACCTCTTCCCCTAGGTAACGTAACGCCCTGCTAACTGCGTATCTAGTCCCTGTTGTCGCGAGGCCCACCACCGCCTCCCTGACCGCACCCGGTCCCAAATACAAGTAGGATCTCACTACGCCCATCCTTGACCCGGTCGGTGTTCTCTGTACGTCCAAAGCCACACGTCCTCGGACAGGATTATGGACCTCCACACAAACTRGCCGTCAGCGTGTCGAATGTTGCGCCCAGGGATCGTGAGCTCGACCAGATCCCCCTCTATGAGTTCAGGGAGCTCCAAGTCCCAGTCAATGGTAGCCCCATAGACCTCTACTTGCACCCTCGGCCACATTCAACTGGCGGCTAGAGAGAACACAGCAAGAGGGAGGTGTAGATTAATAACTGAAAATTCCCATCGCTTGCCTCACGCCTTCGGGAACAGGCTAGTAGGTTAACCCGAAACCAGGTTACCGCAGCGTCTTTTTCCCTTCTCCTTCTAGGAAATTCTTTTGTATTTTTCAATTATAAATTATAGAAAATATATTTAGTTAAGAAATTTTTTTTTTTTTTTCTTAGTTTACTTATATTAAGGATCAATACTTATATAAGCMCGCCGAGTTTGATACTTTTTAGGGGTAGAAATAAAATTTTGGGGATTTTACTAAAATTTCGGCAGCGTTTCGCCTCCCCCCGTTGGGATGGGGTTCGGGACTATTGTCCCTAGACAAATGCTACCTACCCAGAACTAAAGGCAAATGAAACAAGAGGAAGGCCGCTGAAAGAAACAAATTTCTAACGTATTTTTATTTAATTTCCTTATATATATATATATATATATATATATATATATATAAGAATTAATAATTTAAATTAGGAAATTTTGCGAAGTTTCGGCCGCATTTTGGCTCCCCCTCGTTGGGATGGGGTTAAGCGAAGTATCTCCCGAATCACAAAGTCGAAATAAAGTCGACCCCCCTTTCTTGTAGAATTTTAGATAATTATTTTGATTTTTAATGGATTTTAAATGATAAATTATTACTTAAAACAAATTTTCAACTTAAAATTATTTAACAAAATAAAATTTCCAATATTGATTAATTTCAATTTGGTAAACTGGATTTATACAAAATTTTCCCATCACCGGTCGGATAGAAAGACTTGTATCCGCCCGTCTACGCACCGCCCTTCTCTAACTTAGGGTTAGGGTTTTACCCTAATTAGGGTTTCCCCCAATTAGGGTTTTAGGGCTTTGCGCGCCACCACACGCCACCACGTCCAACTTTTCAAGGCATAAAATTTTCCGTCGGTTTGTAGTCAGTCAAAAGTCGGGTTCTCTCGGATCACTTTTGCCGCAGACTTCTGTTTCCGTTTTATTTTTATAAAAATGCAAAGAAAATCACTAATTCCTTTTAATTTTCCCCTCTTTTCCTGTCTGTTGGCGGTCACCACTCGTCCAAACGGAGTCCGTTTTCCCCGACTAAGGTCTCAAAATGTCGGGAAAAAGACAAGGACCAACTTTGGTCCGGGCGGGGTTCACCTAATTTCGCTCCCTTTCGTCGTAATTAAAATAAAAGAAAATTCATAATTTTCGGAATTTTAATTAGAAAAATACAAAAAATTTCATATCTCCTTTTCTAGCCATTAAAATTTTTCAAAGAATGTCTCAAAACGTTCCCCTCGACGAGAGGTCGAACTTTGCTCCGGTGGGCCTTGTGCAAAAACGAGCGGATCGGGAGATATCGAAAAAAATTGAATTAAATATTTAAACTCATGATTTTTGAGATTTTTAATTGGAAAATACAAAAAAAATCCATATCCCTTTTTCTATCCGTTAGAATTTCTCAAAAAACGTCTCAAAACGTTCGCCTCGACAAGAGGTCGAACTTTGCTCCGGTGCGCCTCGCGCAAAAACGCGCGGATCGAAAGATATCGAAAAAAAACGAATTAAGTATTTAAACTCATGATTTTTGGGATTTTTAGTTAGAAAATACAAAAAAATTCATATCTCTTTTTCTAGCCGATAGAATTTCTCAAAAAAAGTCTCAAAACGTTTGCCTCGACGAGAGGTCGAACTTTGCTCCCAGTGCGCCTCGCGCAAAAACGTGCGGATCGGGAGATATCTAAAAAAAAAACTAAATAAAATTATTATAAAAAATAAAACTAATCAAGAAAACAAGCCAATTAGAGTTTGACCAATCAGTCCGTGCACCCCCGTTGGTTGAGGAAGGCCGCGGCCTTGGGGGTGCTGCTCCCCTCCCCGGCAACGGCGCCAATTGTTGTGAGGAAACCCGGGGAGGGGCGCCTACTGTTCGTTGAAGCCAAGGCCAACAGCGCCTGTCACTCGCTGCGCCCGCTTCCGAGGTCCTCAGCGATCAGTAGGGGATAGTGTTCCGACTGTCTCCCAAGCGTCCGCTGTAGCGGGTTTAAGAATTCTCCTTTTCACCTTGTCAAACAACCATTACTAAGCCAGAACCAAACGAACAGGGATGCTTCATAAAGTTGATATCTGCTCAACCCTTGAAGGTCTTTTAATTTCTCTGATTCGTTGGACTAAAGATACAATTATTGCCCATAGGCTTGTACTTAGGAGTTTGCTCGAGCGAAGGGCAATTTGACAAAATGAAATACACGGAAGCGCGCCAGTGAGTAAGAGTTAATAATAATTCGGCACAATCAACACCTCTTTGAATGCACTGTATGAGTGTCCGCCAATAGACAGAGAATACCTGATTACCTTATGAAAAGTCGATCTGCCAATGATAATTSTTGATCTGCCCTTTAACAAAGACTGCTTGACCAGTCAATGGGCGGAGAGTATTCGACCTGTGAATGTCTGTTTGATCAGCCAATAGGCAGGCAGTGATTGACCTGCTAATGCGAAGTGGCTGATCTTTTTTTTTTTTTTTATGCAAGAGCGCAAGGCCTGAATTGGTTCTCATGTGGAAACGGCTCCAACCTGAGATCTGAGCCGCTGACCCCTTTTTTTTTACACTTGGTTGAGGGAAGCCAGGGGAGGCTCCCCCATACCAGCAGTTCGTGTACTCTTCACACGCCCATCAAACTCAAACTCAGGCAGGCAGCATGATCAGGCAGCTTAGCTCTCAAGCATCCACTTGGGCGCATGCATCCAAGAAACTTACAAAAAAAATTTTGGTTGGCTCGCCATCCCCAACTCGTGAGTGCTAGCCAAAATTTCCTAAAATAAACAAAATTATAGTTCCAATTAAGCACTAGGCAATATAGGATCCAGTTGCCCCCAGCTAATTGGTTCCTTGCGCTTACCCGATGAGCAAGAGTTCAATGTGACTAAATCCTCTTGGACCGTGACTTTGCAGAGATCATCAGTTGACCGAAATCAAAATTACGGCATTTCCAAGGCAAATCACTTATTCCAGACCATCTTCGTTATGTCCAAAACTTGACCTGTCGAGAGTCCGAACGGTCAAAGCCTTCGGTTTGAAAGGCCCCTCGGGCATGCTGAAACCGATCTTGGATTGTTGCCTTTGGCGAAAAGGTACAACCATTATACCAACATCTTGTCAAAAGCCCAGCGAAAATCCTC